AATTAAAAATATATATATAAGTTTTTTATATATTACTATCATTATGGTACTACTCTATAAATTTTTCATTTTAATTTAATTGCGTGTTACTGATTCAGCATTTCTTGAATACAATAATATTAAATCAGAAAAAAAGATAATTTTTTTCGTAAATTATCATCACTGTAATATTCGTAAATAAAATTTTTATTTTAATCTGTTTGTGTGTCATTGAGTCAGTACTTTCTAAATATATATAAAAAGACATGAATTGAATAGAAAAAATAATTTTTTTTAATATATTACTGTCATTTTAATACTCATACTTAAATTATTTTATCTTAATCTATATGCGTATCACCGAATCAGCATTCTCTAGATATATATCCAATGGTACTAATTGAAAATAAAAAATTAACAATCTCGAATATTAGCACCAACATTAAAATTTAAATCCTCACTTGCGTTTTTCATATTTGAATACATCGTTAGATTTGAATACGTATTTATAAACTCTTTAAATTAACTTACGTTGTTAACTCTACAATACAATATTATTTTTATTTTTAAAAAATATTTAATTTTTAAAAAAATATTTATAAATATAATTAAATTTTATCGGTGATTATTTACATAACTGAGTTAGCATCATTAAGTATTATTTGTTTGTGTGTTATTTTATAAGAGAGTATAAGCTGGAAAAAAGAAGGATAATACCTCAGAAAAGTAGAATGAATATCAATATTCAAATTCTTACTTATAATGTTTGAATGCGTAGACATACACATTGATATAGAGTATATACATATATATATATATGTGCGTATGTGTGTACTTGCAGCCGGACAAGATCACCATTGTGGATGAAGCAGTGAGCTGGATAAAAGGCCTACAGCAAGACGTGCAAAAGCTAGAAGCACGTAAGGAATTAGAAAAGCGCAAACGTGAAAGTCAGGATCCAATCACTGTTCATAAATCAGCCATGGATTCAACACAGCCCATCTCGATGGATCAACCCTCTTCAAGCAATAATAATAATAGTAATTCAGTTCCAGAATTTACCAACCCTACCCCTGTAGGTTTTAAGGTCTGGTTTTCTGGAAACCTAAGCTTGAACATCTGCGGTGATAAAGCCCAAATCAATCTGTGTTCGGTCAAGAAGCCAGGCCTCTTCGCTGCGATATGCTCTGTGTTGGAGAAGCACCAATTGGAGTTGCTTTCGATTTCTGTCTCCTCCGACTCTAATCGCCGCACGATCATGATGCAACTTTCCGTGAGTGAATTATTTCGCGGTTTCATTTACAGTATATATCTTCGTTACTATATATACAAATATAGATATACAACTAGCGTAACATTTCAAAAGTAAATAGCCGACCAACTTTTCTGACCTTAAAAGGAAAGCTAATTATTACTAGCTACTGAATATATACTTATCTTGATCTACATACATACATGTATATGTATATAGATATGTGTGTATCTGATGAGTTTCTCTCTCTCCATCTGGTAAAACAAGCAGGCAAGTAGCGATGTTGCAGGTTCTGAGCAAGTGGAAAAGATATTCGAGCAAGCTGCAGAAGAGATGACGATCTGGGTCTCTTCTAATTGATCAAATTTATACAGACTTGGAGTTTTTTTGGAACAGAATTAAACTTTTTTTTTTTTTTTCTGGGTGTTGATTTCTCTTTCATTTTCCTTTATGGATCTCAGGTTATAGTTATATTTTGATGAGTATAAAGCTGATCTTGCAGTTTCTATATGAAAACAGCAAAGTATAGTCATAATCTCTACATATATAGTCATAGTCTATATGTATATACAGGATCATTCTATCGTTAAACTGGGTGCAAACAGTTTTTGTTTAATCGTATATTGATGTATAAAAGTTCATATGGCTTTTTGCTGCTTTAGATGCCTTAATGCTTGCCCTAATCATATATACCATATACATGCATATATATATATATATATATTAACAGCAATATGTGTGTGTGTGTATATATATATATGTAGCTAGTAATAACTATGTACAAATATTTTCATATATTTGATGATCTAAGTTTTAGATAATATGAATGAGAACGAAAATATATATTTCATTTTAATATTCATAGATAAAATTTTTATTTTTATATATCTATATATCATTGAGTCCGCAGTCTATATAAATATATAATGCTCGAATTATGTATAAGGTCAGCCCAACATATTTGCTTAAAAGCCCAAATTATCTTGGTGGTATTCAGGGTTTGTACGACGTCGTATTTGGTCAACTCCCATGCGAACAGTCAAAATCTCAGAATTTAAAGCTATTTTGGCTACCAGCAAGCAGCAAGGTAGTTTAACAATTAAAGCTATAATTGATAATATTTTTATTTTTAAAATTTAAATAATAATATTTCTACCTGAATCTTAATATATAATAATACATTTAAATTTTAATAGTAGTTAAAAAAATGTCTTCTCAAATATTTCCAAATTAAACTTCAACTTATTTACTTAAAAATTAAAAATGATTTGATTTTCGAATTCGAGCTTGATTAAACCTAACCCAAACTGTACCATAAACTCAGGTTTCGATTTTGATTAAACCTAACCCCAACAAAACCCTAAACACGAGTTCAAATCCGATTTCAATTTTGATTAAACTTAATAAAATGAATAAAACTAATTTAATTGAAAATTTAATATATATATATATATAGGAAGAAGGAAAAAATGGGAGAGAGAGATATTACATATTTGGGACCGACACGCTGGAAATCAAAGAGTAGAAAGACAAAGGAAAAAATCACCCATTTTCGATTTCGATTTTTATTAAACCTAACCCCAACAAAACCCTAAACACGAGTTCAAATCCGATTTCGATTTTGATTAAACTTAATAAAATGAATAAAACTAATTTAATTAAAAATTTATATATATATATAGGAATTAAAAAAATAATGGGAGAGTGTTGCTAACAAGACTAAAAACACTTAAGATATTTAAATAGTATCAAAATGTAACTTAGAGTAAATTTTAAATGACGTGAATACAAATAGAGTTCCAAATCTGGAAAGTTTCAGTAGATCAGTAAAAAAATCAAATGTAAAAAAGTTTAAAGAGTTCAAATCCGATTTAGATTTTGATTAAACTTAATAAAATGAATAAAACTAATTTAATTAGACATTTAAAATATATATATATATATATATATATGAAGAAAAAAAACTGGGAGAGAGAGACATTAAATGTTTGAGACCCAAATGCTGGAAATCAAAGAGTAGAAAGACAAAGGAAAAAATCCCCCATTTTCGATTTTGGATTTTATTAAACTTAACCCCAACAAAACCCTAAACACGAGTTCAAATCCGATTTCGATTTTGATTAAACTTAATAAAATGAATAAAACTAATTTAATTGAAAATTTATATATATATATATAGGAATTAAAAAAATAATGGGAGAGAGAGAGAGAGAGAGAGAGAGAGAGATTAAATGTTTGGGACCCAAATGCTGGAAATCAAAGAGTAGAAAGACAAAGGAAAAATCCCCCATTTGTAGTTGCTGACCCAAAAGATAGGACAAAATGGCTGGACATGTGAC